TATCATAGACAATTTATCATGCATGCACATACATCAAAATTTATAATCGAAATTTGATGGAGTTTCTAATGGATCTGCCTTTTAAACCCAAAATTTGCATACGTAAATGATGCTGAAACATGGCTAACCTAGCAAATGAGACATAAAAATTCACGTTTGATCCAAATTTTGAATTGAAAGCTATGTTCTGGAAACAAACAAATTCTTACAGAAAAATATTATAATCCATGATCCGAAAATACAAATGGATAGAACATAAACTCAGGTTGTAGATAGAAGTAGAAAATATAGTGGATAGTGAAAATGAAATGAAGTATGCTTCTAAAAGTGTTGAAGTATAAATGTAATCAATAAGATGTTGCTTCTACAATTGTTGTTTCTATAGTCCTTTTCTTTAGGTGAGGATTAAGACAATCTTTAGAATCTTTGAATCCACTCTTCTCTCCAAACTCTACTTGCTATATAACAACAACTTCAAGATAAATTAGTTAAGCAAATTAGATAACATTTTAATGCTATTGAGTAATTTATAAATTATATATATTCTTTACCTGAAAGCTTTTGAAAACCAGTCCAAGATAAAACCACCTCACCAAACTATTATAATCAGAAAACTAATTAACGTTAACAATAACAATTCCGAGTTTTTATTTTTAAAAATTTATTTAGTTGTTATCTAATCCTTTTATTCGTTGCTCTTATATGTCCATCCATCTTTCACCCTCTGTCACAAACATACTGACATTTTAAAGAGCCTCTGAAGGTTTTTTATTTTATTTTTATAATTCATTTCTTTCTTTTAAAAAAGATGCAACCCTGGAGAAGAAAATTTCCATTGTTCGAAGTGACAATGAAACAGAGAAAGAACAGTAACCTCTCTATCTTCGCCGTCGTCTTCTCTGTCTTCCTCTTCGGAATCTTCTTGTACAACGAAGACGTCAAGTCCATCGCCGAGTTTCCTTTCTCCAGCTCAAAACCTAGCCAAGAGGATACTAAACCGATCACTGAGGTTACAACACTACCAATTCAAGAACCGATCAAGAACTCAGCCACAGTTCAAGAACCGGTAAAAAAACCAGACCTAGATCAAGAATCAGTGAGAGAAGCTGAGCTAGTGACGAAAACAGAGGAAGGGAAGAAGATTGAGCTGTTTGCTGTGACTGAGGAAGAAGAAGAGGACGTGGAATTGCCACCGGAGGAGTGTGATTTGTTCACCGGAGAGTGGGTGTTCGATAACGAGACACATCCGTTGTATAGAGAGGATCAGTGTGAGTTCTTGACGGCGCAAGTGACTTGCATGAGAAATGGAAGAAGAGATTCTCTGTATCAGAATTGGAGATGGCAACCAAGAGATTGTTCTTTACCAAAGTAAACCAAAAATCTCTGTTTTTTTTTCACACCGGTTATTGGAATTGGTTTAGTTTGGTTTAGTATAAATTGTTTTTGGTTTGTTTGATTTTGGTGAAGGTTCAAAGCGAAATTGCTACTTGAGAAGCTGAGAAACAAGAGAATGATGTTCGTTGGGGATTCACTTAACCGGAATCAATGGGAATCGATGGTTTGCTTGGTTCAATCAGTGGTTCCTCCCGGTCGAAAGAGCTTGAACAAAACCGGTTCTCTATCAGTCTTCAGAGTTGAGGTAATTAACAACTTTAGACTAATTAATTTGATATATAGGATAATGTATTTGGTGGAGTTGCTGATTAGTATGAGAGAGTAGTTAAGTGTGGATTTTTTTCGCTAGTAATTAATATCTATTACTTCTTCCGTTTTATTTCATAAGTGTCATTGTAGAAAAAAAATTCATTATAAAATAAGTGTTGTGTTTTGGTTTTCAATGTAAAATTTATTAACATTATTATATAATGTGTTTTTATATTGGTTAAAATATAGTTATGTTTATAGGTAAGTGTGTATTTATATAGAAAATATGAAAAATTAATTGTTTTATTAATACGTGTGCACAACTTATAATGAAATATAGGGAATATTGTTTTTTTATTAAACATAATATCTATTATTGTTTCTAGGATTATAATGCAACGGTGGAATTTTATTGGGCGCCATTTTTGGTGGAATCAAATTCAGATGATCCAAACATGCATAGTATACTTAACCGTATAATAATGCCTGAGTCCATAGAAAAGCATGGAGTCAACTGGAAAGGCGTTGACTTTCTTGTATTCAACACTTACATTTGGTGGATGAACACATTCGACATGAAAGTTCTGTAAGTGCTACTCTACTACAGTTTATATCGCCTGTGTATTTTTAAGAATCTATGAATTAATTGAGATTTGTGGAATTAATGAAAACAGACGAGGATCGTTCAATAAAGGGGACACTGAGTACGAAGAGATCCAACGGCCAGTAGCTTACCAGAGAGTGTTAAGGACTTGGGGAGATTGGGTGGAAAAAAATATTGATCCTCTGCATACCACTGTTTTCTTCGCCAGCATGTCTCCTCTCCACATCAAGTAACTAATCCCTTGACTCCCATTTAAACTTTTACATTTAGATTCATTGGGTCTTGCTTAGTTTCTTAATCAACTGATCTTAACTAGGGTTGCTTTGCTTGCAATATGAATTTACTCACAACTTGAATGGTCACACTCTCTAGACTCTAGTCTCCATGTTTGACCAGTAGTTGGTACCATTTCAGATACAATAGAATGTAGTCTTGTATGTGTTTGAGTGCTTTATGTGATGTGTGTTTCTTAGAACCTAGCGCATACTATTTATTCATTTGACCTGCTAAAGAAGTATATAAAGTTTATAAACCAGTGTTAGTAATACAATATGTTGAACTGTTTTGTTTCTTAACATTTTTAATACATTTCTTGCTTACCAATTTTCTTTGTATTAGGTAATTAATAGATTGTCAATTACAATGACATTTAGTTTTTTCGTTTATTTATGTTTTAACATATACTCCATGTGTTTCATTATAATTGTCATTTTAACTTTGTGCACATGGATTAATAAAATAATTATTTTTTATATAAAACATAATTATCTATACATTTAACCATTTTCCAATCAATAGAAAAATAAATTGTACAGTAAAACTAATAAATTTTGCATTGAAAAAAGACATTTATTTATAACAAAAAAAATTCTCTCCTGTGACACTTAACATTTTTCTTGTTTGCCTCTCAAAGGCTCAAAGCACATAACAACCACATGTACAATCATTTATAAGGACCACATGAGAATATTATT